CACTTTTCTGCTAAAACAGCGCCAAAAAGTAGTGATCGCATATAGAGTCGATTTGGCAAGGTTTTACCTAAAAATCTGAAAAGATTTTTGCACGGAATTGTAGCCCAATATGACTATTATCTTTATAACAATTATCAAGCCAAAATAAATTCAATAATCTATTCGAATTCGTATTTATTCCTTGGCAAAAAAGTTTTCTTTCTCAAATTACCGATCTTACATGGAAATGCTTCAAGAATGAACAGTTGTTTACAATTCATTTATGATGTACAGCCTCGCGCGGTGAGCTTCAAAGTCATCATTTTGGGAGCGTGAAAAGGCATACGGAAAGCACCAGTGCGAAGCTCCGCGAAGCGGAGGTGACGCACTGGTTATATGTAAATGAATCTGAAAAGAAGAAGAACTTCAACTATGAACGCGAAATCGGATAACCGAGCACCTTCATAGGAAGTCGCCCAAAGCAGCCGAGTGAAAGCTGAGCTCAGCTCACAGCGCACACTGAGACAACGCTAAAAATCTAGCATTGTGCGAAATTGAATCAAGAAGAATGAAGAAAGCTTGCACATCGGGGAAGGGTGGCTCACTTCGAAGGAATGGCTAACTCGCGTGAGGAGATTGCGTCCAAAATCCGTATAAATCCTAAGAATATCAGGAGGTAGGTGACCGTGGACGAAATGTGAGTCCATACATTCCAGAGTCCGAGACCTAATGAAGTTGGATGCCAGAGCTGAACAACCACTCACCAGAGTCAAATAGGAAAACCCTAAAAGTTTCTAGAGCCAGCGTTTTGGGATCGTGGTGATAGACTGCCCTGAGAACGATCATTGCGAGTATTATATGGACTTTTTTGATTGTTTTCAAAGAAAATCTTCTACAGGAAACTTGCACTCTACAAGAAGAATATTCTTCTCCATTTGACAACGCGACCACATAACTGCGTAGTGCGAAACTTCAAGAACTGAGCTACAAACTAACCGACCACCTTCATATTCTCCGGGGGTCTGCCTTTGACTTTTTCCTCTTAGGCCTCAAGGCCTACCTAGCGGGTAAACAGTTCTCGAGCAATGAACAAGGCCGCTCTGAAGGAGTATTTCGATTCTAGAGACCCTAAATCACGTAAGATCAATACGAAAATAAGTCCATAATTTCGTTCAGAGGATCGCACAGCAGATATTGAACATAGATTTGGAATCAGCGTTTAAGGAGCATCTGCAGGTGTAAGTCTCATGGCAAAAGCCCACGGCCACCAAGTATACTACACTTGTAAGCATATGAATTTTGGCGAAGCTTTTCATAGATCTGCTTCTTCTTTTAGAGCATTTGGTTTGGCATTATCATTGTTATTTTCTGCGCTAACTTCGTGTGCCTTGAACACAATCGTGAATTTATTAGCGAAACAGAGTATGTTATGTGCATCGTAGATTCAATGACTCTATTTTGTCATACTCTATTTCAAAAGAAATTCCTCTTACAAGACGGAGGGGGGGGGGGGGTCGGGGTCACGAAGCCGAAATGGCCAGTAACCACAAACTGCACATTATTGTGAGAGCTTGGAGCGTTAAGATCGAATCTGTTCTCCCTATCTGCAGAGCGCTGCTGCAAAAAAGTCATGAGCATTGGAGTCGAAAAATGAACCAATGACTGGGATAATCAATTGATTCATTATCGAAACTTCTTGATGGAGAACAAAGTTTAATATTTCGTCGCACAAAACAGATATCTTACAAGGGAAGGAAGGTTGGTCGAAGTGGCCTTTCAAAATGAGATGTACACTGCCTTGTAGAGCTTAGAACGCTGATTCCAAATCTATCTTTGCTATCTGCTGCGGGCTTCTGGGCGAGAAGTTATGAAGGTTTTTGTGAGTAAAAATCTGAATGCAAAAATAGGGTAAAATCAGTCGTAACCTTTTCCCCATGTCCAAATGAGGCAGCAACGAATTAGTATATGTGAATCAAGAATATTTGTTGCACCGAGTGACCCGACTACCAATTAAGCCCTATAATAAATGTTACGATTGATTTCCTACTCTTGCATCAGATTTTCACTCACAAAAACCTTCATAACTCCTCGCGCAGAAGCCCGCAGCAGATAGCAAAGGTAGAATTGGAGTCAGTGTTCCAAGCTCCACAAGGCAGTATACATCTCATTTCAAAAGGCCACTTCGACCAACCTTCCTTTCCTTGTTAGAAATACAAAATACACTTACAACTTTGAATGATAAAGACAAGAAGGCCTTTGCTTCGTCTATCCCTTAAGTTAGCCAGAGCTTGAAATAAGATCTCCAAGCTTTGCAAGGTTCTCTCAACAAGGGAAAATGTCCGATAAAGCTTTATCTTGGGAAGCGTGTTATAGAAAATCTTATTCACTTTCTTTGAATAAAAAGCAATGATTGAGGAACAATGGTCAGTAATTCTGAAAGTGTGGTCCACATCTCATATATACAAATATGCAGCATAATTTTACAAATCTATAAATAGCAGACAATCCATGTCGAAGGCTCTTTTCTTTCTTTTCGAGGTACACCCAAGAAGCCGGGTCGATCATCTTTGACCACATAATTTAACGCAAATGTTGCTAGCAAGGCAACCATAGTATCATACGTACGTTCGAAAATTGATTGGCTGTAAGTATCTCGGGATAATGAGTGTTGTGGTAAAATTTGTTAGTTTGGCTTATTAGTATCGATTTTTGAAAGTTCTAAATTTGCACCGATATTTTTGTGTAGTCTTATTCACACTCAGAGAATTCATTATTCTTGAGTTCTTTATTTCAACTAGGAGTCAGTAGATACAACAAGGGGCTTGAAAGCTTTGGGAAAAGTAATCACGATTTTGTTGTGATGCTTGAGGCAAATCTATACATAGTTGGTGTAATTTGAGAACACAAATTTATAATGAGATAAACAAAATTGTGGACTGCAATTTTTGAAAATCTACTCCAATAAAAATTGTGTTTTTGATCTTGGCTACGTAACCTAATCTTTCCGGTCATTAGAAAAATTGTGCTGAAAACACTATGAAAATTGGGTTGGAGTTTGAAGTTCTGTCGCACCATTCCAAGAATTCGTAGCTTCTTGATTTTTCGAAGAATTTGCATGCATTGTTTATTTGGAGTAAATCATGCTCTTAATCATGTAATTCACATTCCAATGCGCACTTTGGATAGAAACGGTAGAAGAGAATTGATCAAATTTTGACTTTCCTGTCGTTGTTCAGGAAATATTGATCAAATTTTGACTTTCCTGTCGTTGTTCAGGAAATATCCGAAACTTGCAGTAAAAATCGAAGCTGTCAGTATCATATAATAGTCTCAACCTACTCCCTCTAACTGAGCAAATGTGTGCTGTCTCTGCAAAAAGTTATGATTTCTGAAGTAGTACAAAAACGCAAATTTGGTTATTTTGGCATTTTTCTCGAAAAGCATAACTTTTTATAGAGACAACAATTAGCACAAACTTTGCTCACTTAGAAGAAGCAAACCAAGAAACCTAAAATATTGGCAGCTCTGATTTTTTTGCAAGTCGCAGATTTTTATGACTGAACATAGCAAAAATTTAGGTGATTTTCCTCTACCTATCGTCTCTATATGCGAAATAAGTGCGCATGAAGTGCACTACTTGCACTTGTATAGAGCATGATCTTTCTTCCAAGTAAATTTGAACGCATGCGAAACCGTTTAGAGATGTAGAAGTTATGAATTTTTAGAAATAGTGCAACAGAATTTAGTTCCAAATTAATATTAGGTTGCAACATAAGCCTTGAGACACTCTCATTTCTTACGGCGATACATGCATTTCACATTTTCAAGAAGAGTCCAAGACACCATTCGATAAAGCAAAGCAAGTTTTGCGAGATGGTATGAAAAGTTTGCAGAGACTTCGAACCGCTGTAGGTTTGCATCGAAAATCTGAGTTGCACTGATGGCTCACAAAATCGCGAAAAATTCGTATCTTTGTTCAAAAAAATTCTACGAATCTCCAACTTGCTCATATAGATTCACACTGCGTCAGATACTCATATGTACCGTTCCTGAATTTTTGTCTTATTCACAAATCGATAAAACAAAAAGTTCCTTGTTTATACAAAAACGAAGCTATGGTGTTTTCACTCATGTAATTTTATACAACAAGCCCTTAGGAGTATAGCCGCAGATTTTCGGTTTTCCACAGGCCCAGTTTCGAAAATTACCGATTTTAGCTCTCCTCATTCGGGTGTTCCATGCTAAAATCAATATTTCTCGAAAACTAGTGTTTGTAGAAAGCTGAAAATTTAAGATTATACTCCTAAGGGCTTGTAGTATACAATTACACGAGTGAAAACAGCATAGCTCAGCTTTTATATAAACATGAAAATTTTCGTTCTCTCGATTTCTAAATGAGGAAAAATCTAGGACCGCTCATATGAATGTGTGTGCTATTTGTGTGGGCAATATGTAGATTCTTAGATTATTTTGAAAAAATTGAATTTTTCGCGATTTTTTGAGCCTTCAGTATGACTCAGATTTTGGATGCAAACGTACATTGGGTCGAAGTTGGTGCAAACTCAACACCATCTTGTAGAGCTTGCATTGCTGTATCGAATGGTGTTTTGGACCCCTATTAAAAATGTGAAGTATGACTTATTGCCCGTAAGAAGTGAGAGTGTCTCAAGGCTTATGTTACATCTAACAGTTATAGACCTCAAAATTTATTTTCCGACATTCTAGCTCATACGAAATGAAATCATCGATATTTTTAGCAAATACAGCATATATCATACAAGACAATATATATGAACTGTAACGTTATTTAGAATTTATAAAAAAATTTTTCAGAATTTCATCGCAATACTTAGCAACCTAGCAGCATAATAAGATTGGTATCTACTTGAATTTGATTAATGTGCCTTAGAGTGAAAAACACTAATAAAAGCTACTTAGTTCAAGTTCTCACTGTATAAAAACAGTCATTCTATTACTGATTTTCAAGGCGATCAAGCTTCAATTTGTGGCTCACCTCTCTGCTATGATTTCCTTGGTTGAGCCCATAGAGAATTCAATTGCTTGAAATATTGGTCCATTACAATTTTGGTGTCTTGGGGTTCCAAAGAACGGACAGGCTCGATGCTGGTCCTAGTAAATCTGCATTTTGAGAAGAGCATAGTTAGCGTTCGTGGTTTGCGAACTGCCGCCAGAGCTAGCCATACAAAAATAGCAAAGGTCCTACAAATTGGATTGATTCGCGAAATGTTGATTTTATGGTTTCGAGGTTGACTCACACAGCGATGTATAAATTGATGAGCGCTGCAAAAAGCTGACTGATTGGCTGTTCTTCCTTGAAAATTGGCCAAGTTACGACTCCCAAGCCGGTGCCAACCGTACCCCAACTAGCATATCCGATAGAAGCGTTGAAGAGAAACTGCAAATAAGGGAACCTATGATCTTATTTCATTGAAAGCATGAAAAAAATTGCAAGGAAAATGTGGTGGGGTAAATAAGCACATGAAGGCTTGCTTACCTTCGACACTCGAACATTCTCTTCTAGTTGAAATTTCATACTTAGCGTATAATTTAGTATTGAAAGACCAGATTCATTTTTGAGATCTCGTAGTTTGGCTGTATCTCGACGATGAACAGCCATCATAGCAAAAGCTGGCAGCAGAAATATTAAAAATGTGACAAATAGCAGGGAGGCCGTCATATAAATACCTAAAAAGTTAGCGTTACTGATGAAAATTGCATGATTATCCATTTTAGAAGAAGTCGGGTTTATGGTTTTCAATTCTTTATCTTGGTTCTTTGTTTCCCTTCTCAGAGTGACATTTTTTGAAGAAAAAATGGCAAAAAAATGGCAGCAACTAATTTGCATTCGTATTTTTGGGGGAAAATAAATTGATTGTGAATGACGGACCAAAACGTGGATGATATCATTTTCAAAGTAAATATTCCACTCTGGTCTCTCGGTTCGGCATAAATGTGCAGAAAGCTAGCGCACCAAACGGCGCTGTGTCTACGTCTCCCTCAGCCACATCATCTCTCTTCGCACCATAGCGTCTGCGTCCTCTCTAATCACTGTACTCTCTCCAGTACGCAATAACGATCAATCGCACGTGAGTCTCTCTTTCATATTATGTCCAGTGCTAGATATATCTTACCTATAGCAAGCGTTAGTAAGAACAGATAATACACAACAGCGATCACAAGTGAGAATCCATTCATCAGGTAGGATATCCAGGCACGCCTAGCACTTTCGTAGTCACGTATATAATAGGAAGCAAATACCCGTTCCATGATGGCAGCCGGAATTGTCGTGACAAGAAAGCCTATTGAGACAAATCTCACCGCAAAAAGAGCAAACAGCAGTTGATCGAAGATGCCTGAAGAATGTGGTGTCGAGTTCTCTGTATTCTTACTTTTTGCAAACAAAGCAAACAAAAAAACATGGAAGACATTAATGCCAAATTGACCCAAAGATAAAAATCCTGATGAATAATCTTCTCACCAGTTTTCTTCACAAATCCTATATCGTACACCATTATCGGGATCCTAGAAATCTCAGATATCGTCATAGCAGCAAGATGCACCTGAAACTGAACTCAAAAGTAAACCATCACGAGTGCTGAAAAATTAGGCTTATTAGCATTGCTGGAATTTTAAAAATTTGTGAGCTCCAACCAGGTAGTTCTTGAAGGCAAAACCTTTTTTCTGCAAAACAGTGAACAGAAGGATTTTGAGGCAAATTTAGAGTTGTTTATTTGTAAGCATCTGTATCTTCACAAATGGAGTAATCTGACACCGTTTCACTTCTGGCAAGGATCTAATGCAAAGATCTTCGCCACCCAAGATTCAATGCTACTTGCTTCGAATTTGTAGTTTTTTTTCAAAATCTTCACAAGACAAAGACTGATTTAAGAACCTTTTACTAACTTGATTACAGCGCATTTTAATTATGTTATTTATGTTTTTCAAAATCAATCTTGTCCCTCCTCTAATTCCTTCGGAAAGATTTCACTCAAAGACAGTTCCAAGCAAAACCAGTGCTCCCCGATTAGTACTAGTCTATAAGAAGGCTTTAGTAGTAGGACATCTGCGTTGGTCCTGTTCTCTTTTGTGGCCTTTGAATGGAAAAAAGGACCTGGAATCTGCGAAAGTGCTATCAAGAACAGGGCTCGGCACGAGGTGGCTAGATGAAAATGGAAAAAACGAAGTCCCCCTTGACTTTTGGGAATTTTTACGAAGTCCCCTTTGACCCTGAACCAAATTTCTTCTAAAAACCTGAAAAATTCCCGAAAATCCCCCAAAAAACGAAACGTCGACTAAAAAAAAGGTCGCCGTCGTCAATTTTCCGTATGTCTTCGCTCACAAAAACGAAACCCCCTTTGCTTTTCGTCCCAAAAACGATATCCAGCTTGCTTGTAAGCCACCTATGCCGAGCCCTGATCAAGAAACGCTCGCCCTATCAAGCTCCACCCCCAGCTAAATACTATAGTATAAGGTTGTCTCATAAGTCTTTTCATTTTTGAGTTTTCCCTGCAATAATTCATACACTTCTCATTCTAAATAGACCGAATACCATTTAATAGAGCAAAGCAAGCTCTATAAGATGGCTTTTATGCTTTTGCACCAGCTTCGATCCACCTCAAGTTTAAAATCAAAACCTAAGAAGTTTCGGATGCTTAAGAAACTGGAAATTTTTCATATCTTTATTCATAAAAGTCCTACAGATCTCTCATTCGCTCACGCATATACACTCCACATCAAACACCCATATGTGCTATTCCCGTATTTTTTTTTTATTAGCTAGAAATCAAAGAACCGGTTCCATGTTTTTACCAAAGTGATGTTGTGTTTTCTTACACTAACTGTTGTATACTACGAGTCCTTAGAAGTGCAGCTGTAAATTTTCAGCTCTCTATGAGCTTTGGTTTCCAAGAAATATTGAGTTAAGCATAAAAAAACCCGTGAGGAAAGTTAAATTCGATATTTTTCGGGAACTGTAGCTCATAGAGAGCTAAAAATTTGCGGTTATACTTCTAAGGGTTCGTAGTATGCAACTGTTAATGTAAGAACAGCACACCACCACTTCGGTAAAAACATGGAAATTTTCGGTTTCTTGATTTCTAGCTAATTAAATAGATACGGGAATAGCACATATGGGTGTTTGATGTGGAGTGTATAGCGTGAGCGAATGAGAGATCTGCAGGACTCTTATGAGTGATAAAAAAAATTTTCAGTTTTCTGGGCATCCGAAACTTTTTAGGTTTTGGTTTCAAACTTGGGGTGGATCGAAGCTGCTGCAAAAGCATAAACTCCATCTTAAGCTTGCTTTGCTCTATCGAATGTTGTCCTGCAGTCTACTTGGAATAAGTCGTGTATGATTTATTACGGCAGAAATTCGAAAATGAAAAGATTTATGGGACAACCTAATAGAAATCGTTTGCCTTCAGGATAGTGTTTACAGAAATCGGGTTTTTGGTGTTTTGCACATTTTGCACGTCATATCTGTAATAAATGCCATGGAGACTCCAGAATGCCAAAAACATGGAAGAGGAAGATTTGGGTGGATGCTGCGTTTAGCATGCTTCGCACGTCTCTTTCTGCACTCGCCATTGCCACGTCATTCTTACTAAACTTCTTACTGCATTCTTTGTTTCCTCTCCTCTTTTAAGCTTAATGTTCTTCCTTTCTGGTACAGAAACGAAATCGTGAGTTGTTACAAAGTAAAAAAAGTAAGTCCCAAGACTCCCATCAAGTAGTGCCGTATTTTCAAAATCGCCTAAAATATTGGGAAACTTTCTGATTACTGTAAATTAGCACGTTTAGGACCGGTGCTGCACATGGTGCAACACGCACCTTTGAAGGATCTTTCCAACGTTTACGGGAGGTTTTCTTTTTGTCCAAGGTTATCAATTCAAAGGCCTAAGCTCCCCCTTTTTTAAAGGGTCTTTAGAGCTGTGCCATCGATATTTGTTCAGGAGATATGAGGACAAATCGAACCTCAGTTGCAACAAAGTGCGGCAACGCGAACGACGCTTGCGACGTCGCAACTTTTCCTAGCTTCGAATACAAAGAGAAAAACCGTAGTTCCAATAATGATGTGTATCGTGTACAACATAGATACTTTTGGACAAAATTAGAAACTGAGTTCTTGTACCTATCTTTCAAGAAAGCACAGAAGTCCTTCTCAGATGAAAAAATTCAAACACTTCGAATTCACTCAGAACTCTGGGTACGGATCTTATCTGACATGCTGATCACAGATGTAGCACACAATCTGCGAATTAAGGTCCCTTTGTTGGCTAACGGCTGAAAGTCCCCTCTTTTTCGCCGCGCGCGATTTCGCGGTACGAAACGTGTTAGCTGGCAATCCCTGCCCTGTTCAACAATAATTTCGTATCAGCATGCTGACTTACCCCCTGCCAACTCCCAGCGCAGCAGGTGGAACTTAGCAAAGAATTGATAAAATTGATGTCGATTAATGATGAAAAGTAGCCTATGAAAGCCGCCCCCGCCCCGAAGTGTATCAGTGCCATGTTTGATCCGGATCGGTTCAAAAATGGGATTTTCTATTCAGAACATACGTACACACAGACAAACACACAGACATCCACTTTTATTATATAAAGATCATTCGGCTCAAAAAACTTGAGACATTTTCTGTCACACTTCAGTAGGTATAAATGATAAATCTTGGTACCTGCCCATGCATCATGATTTTAAGTTCATTAATTTATTTGCTTTTGCTGCAGCACAAGAAATGTATTCATCATACTTGCCTAAGACAATGATCAAAGTTTCCGTTCGTTCAAAAAGTTTATTTTTTGCAGAGATCCCTTGCTAAAGTGCTGGAAATTTTGAAGAAAAAAAAGCTTCAGCACCTAACAGAAAAGATGAACGGAAGGAGTATTACGTTTGAATATGTGAAAAATTTCCATCACAACCTAAAGTGATTAGACCTGTCATAATGGGCTTCAAAATGTGCTCCATTTTTTGATTTTTCGGAAACATTTACAATCAAAAGCATAATGATTAAATTAAAGGGCCGTCAACAATCCGCGAAAAGTTTGAGAATGAAATTAAAAATTGATTGCAGTGAATAAACTACCTGAATAATTTGTATGAGGTTCCTATGAAATAGTCGTAATGTATTTCTCATCGCAATAATAAGCAGTATTGATCCAGGCAACATAACAACTGTAGAAACCAATTCAATCACATACAGTAACCTGAATGAAGGCCAAGAATTCAGCGTGTCCTCTGTTGGGAATATAGCCGGAACAAAAAGCGGGATTCCATTTTCTAGAATGAACAGCATAGAAGTAGCAGATATCAGTGGTGGATATTGTTTACCGTTTAGCGCTGTTTACGACAGAATGATAATCCATTGAAGGCAAATCTATCACTCGCACATAATCTAAACTAACTTGCATGAGTGATCTGGAAACGTAAGAAACGAAATCAGGTGGGAAGCTATAATGCGACTATAAATTAAGTGAAGTATTATGATTTTGAGGGGGCGAAAAAATAGTCCCAACCCTGGCTAGAGGGCAGTATTAAAGTACTTTTAAAAGCAAATGTACCTAGTGGTTGGCAAAATTTCACAACTAAGCACTGTTTTACAATTCTTTATTGGCCATTTTTTCCGTTAATTTCAATTTCTAATCATATTGCCTATTGTAATGTACAAAGCGTATTTTCCTGAAAAGTGTGTCCTTTGCGACATGTCGTTCGGGTTAGTATTAAACCCATCAGTCCTGCCTATCTGTTTCCCCAGCAAATTCTAAGCTAATTTTTCATGGCGAATATTTTTGTCGGATTAAAGTGCAACTTAAAAAGCAAATTTATCCTAGACATTCCACTTCCAAGTCAAACCTTATCTTCCCTCTTATGAAAGGAAAGACTTTGACAGTGTTTTTTTGCAATTTTTCTAAAGAGTGTTTGTAGACGAGCTCAAAAATTAGCACCTAGACCTGACAATTTTGAATGTGGTAAGATTCGAGATAGGAAAACTTGGATTATTGTGAGATTTATCTTCTGAAAGCAACCGCGTCAAATTTCTGTGGGTCAAGCTTTGAGTGAATGTTTGAAGTCATCTTGTAGAGGTTGGTTTGTTCTGTCGAATGATTCGGAAACTCCTTAGAACGCAAGAAAACTAGAAATTTCCTACACTAGTAAAAAAGTAAAGAAATAAAAGTTGGAATATAGGAGATAACTTACTGGGTTTATGCGTGATTCTTGCACCAAAATTTTTGAAATTCTGTTACTTCCTCCAGCTTCAGTGAAGTCTTCTG